GGAAAATGAGCCGCCGGGGAGGCGGCCGCCATGTCGCGGAGCAGCGCCAGGGCCGGCCCGCGGCCCGCCGGGCTTCTCCAGACCCGGGGGGGAGGCAGCTCTCACTGCCTGCTCCCTGCTCGGCCTCCCTTTCATGGGTTTATTGCCTCTGGGAGGCGTCGGGCTTTTGGGTTGGGGGCCGATGGGGCCCCCTGGGTCACAAGCTGCCCCATTTTCGAAGCGGGGAAGGGCATCAGGGCCCCTCTGCAAAGCCGCCAAGCGCCAGCTTCAAACCGGGTGCACAGGAAGGCTGCCCTGAAATCGCGCTCCTCTGGTTGACAAAGCCCTCCTTTTAATTCCCGTGGCTTATCGTGGCCAGCCCATTCCCCTTTGCTCTTGCGATACCAACGTCCTTTAGTCCAACATGTTCTTCTCAGTTTGCTCTGAGCTTCTGAAAGTGGAAAACCTCAAAATCCAGCAGTCTAAGAGGGTGCCTGCTATTTCCTGTTGCTAGGAACTTGCAGCAGCATCTCATGATGACGCGGGGCTAAGGTAAAGAACTAGTCTCTTTACTAAATTCCTCCATCTGGACCCAGCATCCTTCCAAAAATGACTAAATGCAACAGTTGGATCCTAAAATGGATCTCTTGCTTAGGGATGCTTACGTCTTTCTGTAGGTCCAACTAGATGGAGAAGAGAATGACTGTCCTTTTCCTGGGCTGTCACTCTCTGGTGGCACCCCTATGTGGCCTAGCTGAATGAGCCAGGATCAGAAAGTCCTCACTACCCCCTCTTCAGCCAGGGGCTCCCTGGATGACTTTGCCCAGAACATTTCACTTTCCTGCCTCGGTGCCCCCCACTTCATGGGAACCTTGTGAGATTTAGCAGGTTGGCATCTGAAAAAACCCTCTGAATGGCTACGGAAATGCTCAGTGCTATTGCTGCTTGTTAGGTAAAGAAGAGGACTCCGTTAAAGAGGTGACAGGATAAAGAGAACAGCTGGGTTACCAGATTGCTGAGAGATTTTATCACTCAGGTTTGAAACCTTCCTCTCAGAAAGAGCATGAAGTAATGAAGCCAGGAGTAAAGTTAACTTCCTCTCAAACATACCAGTAACTTGCAATCAATGGTGTTTTGGTGATTCTGGAGGAGGCCTCCAGTCCCTGCTATACCTGGCATCTACCACAGACCAGACAAAACATGTTAGTACTCCAGTTCTGGAGTCTGAGGACAGCCTTGGCTATGTGTCCCCAGACGTGTGGGGCAGATAAGGAGAGACAGGACACCTACAGCAGCCTCTGAGCAATGCTGTAATGATCCCATGAACGTGAACGACACAGGAAGGTTCAGAAAAGGAATCTGCTCTCAGAAAAAATTTACCTCCTTTGTCACAAGGAGCCCTGCTGATGTCAATGAAACTTGAGTGACGAGGCCTGACACGCAGTGAGGTGTCAAATTTCCCCTTTTTTTTTATATTCACAAGGTTATTACGAAAATCTGAAAAACAAATTCTTTCTTAATGATTGACAAGATCCTGACCATTTCCTTTCAGACAGCTAGCTCAGGATAATAAGACATAAACTCTAGGGCTTACACTTAATTTTTTCTTACATCAGCTTCTTTCACATAAGAACCAACCACGATTTCCGCTTACACATAATTGTATTCACCAGTGAACTGCAACTGCTGTGGGGAAGGTTTTCACTGACGACTGCATTTAAATCTAATCAACCCCATTCCCTTTCGTGACCATGATCATTATTATAAGACAGACACAATGGTACCATCTTCATACGATTCAATGTTTGTTGGATTCCTCTGGGAAAAAGATTTACTAAACCTAAACACTGTGCAGGAAGTTGGAGAGAAGAGTTATACAGAAATTCAATGCACAATGAGGAGATAATTAAACCTGGAGCACAGGAGAATCCGATGTAGTTGACTCCCAGGATGAGATTTCTGTAGACAACCACCTGCAAGTGAAAATTAAAAGAGTTTAACAACTTCCATTTTCAAAAACTGATTTTTAAAGAGGAAAATATCACACTTCATTAAAAATTTGATTGTGTCTGCAATTAATTATGTTCTAAACAAAACATGCTTCCTTGCCTGTGCTTATATAGGATCTATAGATTCAAGCGCATTCTGAAGAGGTTGTTTTTTGTTTCCATGGTAAAGATGATTTTAACTGTGTTTGATCAGCATTGCCTCCTCTGTTTGCTCATAATCTCTTCTATTCCTCCACTTTCCTTTTCCAAATATATAAGCGTCAAGCTTTTTTTCCCTCTTCCTTGTACTCACGTAGGTAAAAGAACAACAATCTCTCAAACATATCCAGTAGTGAGACCTGCTCATTAACTGGTCTGGAAAAAAGACAGCCCTCTTTATATAGTAAATATTCAAGACAAAGCCAAAATTTTTAATAGCTAGAAGTTAAACCTTCTTTTTTTAGCCTGGCTTCTTAATGAAATAAGGCTTATGTGATTCTGCTGTCCATTTTTCTCTCCTTTCCCACCCTTCTCCCCTATTCAAACGCTTTTAAACCTGTTGGCCAAATCCTGCTAAGTTTGGCAGAGAAGTAAGAAAATAATATCTTTGCACCCTCACCAAGCTTAATAAAAATCAGCACTGGGCTAAGAAGAGATACCCAAATGAATGCCCGTGTCTTAGGAAAGGCCCCGTACTTCCACAGTTTCCCATTTGGCTCACAGACTGGTGGGGCAACACACGCATGCTGGCCAGCCTGCCAACATGCTGGTTACTTGAACTATCTCACAGCGAGTCTCTGCCTCTTGCCTACCTGTAGCTGTGGTACAGGAAAGCAGAATGGGACTTATGTGACGAGTGGGGAGATCTGGAAGTGTTGTGGGGCTGTACAAGGCATGGGGGGAAGCTACGGTTACAGGGTTGTGGATACAGGGGCATGGGATAAAGATGCATAGGAAGCCAAGCTTCATTACAGCAGCTGCTCCCAGAACAGCTACTTGCAGTGATTGATACTACCCACATGGTAATAGCCATCTTCAAACAGCACCATAATCCAGGGTACATATGGGAAGATTTCCTGTACAAAATATTGAACAGGAATATTCCTTATCTTCCATAGCCACTGCCTCCAGACAACCTATATCATGCCCTTTGCTTTCTGGGTGGGAGCCAGCACTGCTAGGGTGATGAATCAAGAACATCCATAAGGAAAATGAAATGGAGGAGGCTCTTATTCAGTACATTTCTCTTCCGTTAATTGTTGCTGCATGTCATCCCAACCCCCCACCCTCCTAAACTGCGGGGATGGTGACTCAGCTGCAGCAGCTTACATGCTCAGAAGAGAGAGGAGTCACCCTCCTGGGGATGATTTCAGTATCATTTCACAAACTCCATTGCTCGCCAGGCTTGTCTATCATATGGATCCTTCTGCAAGTCTTGCCCGTCCCGCATGCTGGCTCCCTCTCTTGTCCCACACAGTCAAGCAAATAGACAAGGACAAGGACACCTACAGCACCGCAGGTCAGCAAGACGATCCTGCTAGCAGAAAAGCTGCATAAGGGAACTCTGGGCTTTGCTCATCCGGTATCCTAGCATTTCCCCATCCAATATCGTCAGCCTGAGAAACAGGCCTGAAGAAAGAGAAACAAACCCTGCTTTCCCAACCCTGCTGCAGAAATGCCAGCCTCTGGTGGATAGGCAATGCAGATCAAGAAAGGCAGTTATTTCTTCAGCCGTGGCACTTAAATCCAGTAGATTTGGTCTGTCAGTCATGAGTCAGCCCTGTAGTAAGCCCTGTGGTAAGCTTGTGCCTTCAAGGTATGGTGTAGATGCTGGAGAGCTGACACCTAATAAGTCTATAACTATATATACGGAAAACTTAACATTGCTATTCCTAGGTAGCAATTACACTAGATGGCAGGTTGGGAGGAGGGGTTTGCATTACTGGTAACTAGAAAGAAGGAGCCAAAACAAAGTTAATGAGATTTCTTTTAAGATAACTGCTGCGTCCTTCTGCTCAAAATAGATCAAGGCCCCATAGGTGGAAACTGAGGGAAAAGCTTAGTGAAAACAAAACAGAACAACTCAATGAATAGCAACAGGAAGAGAAACTGGAAACACATGTAAAGCAAAGAAAGAGGCAGAAGAGACAAGAGTTTCCAAACCTCACCCTTTAGCCCCGTTCCTGGAGCCAGGAGACTGCATACAGTCCAGTGTCATTAAAGAAAGTCACTTTTCTCCTTCTTTCTATCCTCTGCAAAGAAGACTTTGAAAACATAACGTAGGTGCGCTTTAAAGAAAAGCCAGAAAAGGCACCCAGTTTTGGCTGGCAAAATGTCTTTAAAACAGGAACAACCTGGTGGTTCTTTGAGATTTGCCCCACAACTTTTGAACACTGAGGAAACGTTCAAAATGTTGGTAATATTGCGTAGGTTGAACGAATTAATAGTCCACGTCCTGGAAATACTGTACAGCTATACTACTTTCTGGACATAATGAGAGCATTTTCATAACAAGGTGTTTAAGTACAAATACCTAGTTGTCAGGTCAAAGAAAAAGCTGATATCAAAAAGAAAACAACGAGGACAGAGATGTCTGGAGACATGCTGAAGCCTGTAAGGCTCTGTATTATACTAATGTTTCCAGGTGCACCTGGAGATGGTATGTTTATATTGCTGAAAGACCCAGCTCACCATACAGTGACAATGGGACACTATTATGATATTGGCAGCTGACAGCAAGTCTTCTGCTAATGTTTTAGAATAAGTCAGACACCGCAAACCGTATTTA